TAACAATAACACAACTCCCTGCTGCTTTCAGATACCAACCCTGCTACAAAAATACATACAATGTTGTCAGATTCTAGGTAGTAACCCTCAAAATTCATTGGATGATGACCTGTGCCATAAACAAGACTTAATGAACACTTAATTTGCTACATTATGGTGCTTCTAATTTAATATAGTCTTTTACATATTTAACTATTACACTCCCTTACACTCATCTAAAGCACCTACCCTTCTTTTAGAGTCTTATAGATGTTTTATATATACCTTCTGTTTTAATATCTTCTAGCTTTTCATATTTTTTACTTTTCAACTCTGATGTATCTTCTACACTTTTAATTGACTGTAACCTTCCCTCCCTATGCTGGTCTCTGACTGTAATGAAGATTCAATTTTATTTGAGCTGAGGCAAAGGACAATATATTTTTCTCATTATGGCCATATAGAAGATCCATAGACCACCATATAAATCATTGTCACAAGCAATTAAAGAACATCCTCTACGAAACCTGGGGCATAATACAGCCTATGGATTACATGGAGTTCTTAGGCTACTTCTTGCACTAGGCCACAGTCTATCCACCAACGTAGGTTGCCCGAAGAAGCAGCCACCTCTTGTTCATGATATAGGAGATGCAGTGCCATAAGGAAGAATCTGAAATCTAATTGTAGATCAGATTTCACTGGGGAATAAGACATTGGTGATAACACACTGAGAAAAAAAAATCCTGTGAAATTACCATCTTGTAAAGGTAGTTTACTTCTAGCAATAATTAATCATAATTTGGATAAGGCTCACAAGGTCACTGAACGGACTGACAAGAAGCCTTGTTTCAAGACAAAACTAGAACATCCTCTCTATATACAACCAATCTCAGTCCTTCAAGAATAATATGCTATATAGGTAATACCATGCACGAATAAGGATGGATTAACAAGTGACAAAGTGCTCAGCTATGCAGAAATAATAAACAGTCAAGGACGGGAAGCAGCTAAGTGGATGGAAAATGCCTAAATCATGGATGTGCAATTTTTTCTAAACCAAGAATTGCATTCTCACAGAGATAAACTCCTTGGGAGAGGGCAGCTTACTAGGTGGTTTTGAATCAACAAACAAGTAAGATCAAAAGCATCAGTTTTCTTTCATTCCCAGGCAGGAGACTGCATGGAAGAATTAGATCTCTTCAGAAGCTTGGGCCACCAAAGGGCTTTTGAAATTAGGCAGAAAGTGACATATGGCCCTAAAAGCAGATTGTCCATTCCTGTTCTAAGAAGTGCAATGAATACTGAGTACACTAAAGGCATAACATGCTGGTTGGAGAAAAGTAGGAAAAAAGGAAAAGAAAGGTGGAAATATGAAGTATTCCGGGAGACAGAATGCCTAGTCAAGACATAAAGCAGGGGAATTTCAGACTGCAATCTTGTTTGCAATCCCACATGAAGTATGGATTCACTTGCCTACCTACCAGGATTGGGCTGTACAATCCTAGTTTAGGATCTGACCTTTTAAAACACCAAGGGTAAAAGCAAGACAGAAATGTTTTATGGAACTATTTTTAGAAACAACTTCTACAGTTATTTCAAAGCCACTGGTGCATTAGAACATAAATTCTGGCTGTGAAGCAGAACCATGGTGTACAATTTTGTAATGGAGCTGTACAGCAATTTTTCTTGAGATCAGAATAGAGCAATACAAGATGGAACTAGATGTTACAGTGTTTCAACAGATCCTTAGAGCAGCATTTCTGCTCCAGGCAGTTTTGAGTAGGAATCCATAGAGCTATTCGAGCCATTCAGGGGGCAGTTCAATTTCAGAATTGGAAAAGGGATAAATAGAGCATCTTCTTCTCATTTTATTATGGAACTCTCCTCCTTTATATAGCATCTAAGGGCTGTCTTCTCTGCCCCCACTTAAGAAGAGTAGACATAAAGGAGGACAAACAGAATTTTTTATATTAAGCATTCTGGGACACAGAATGGGAGGACAAACGTTTTTCTTCCCCATTATTCCTCTGCATTAAGTAAATAAGGTCTGTATTATACATGGCCTACACAGAACCACAGTTGGGAACTTCTCAGATTGAGGAAATGTTTTGGTGGGAATCCACCCTCACTGTGCAGACTTCTCTGTGTGGCATCCACTGTCCTCTTAGATCTCTTTTTTTACCAGCTTAGCAGCACATTTCCCAGTAAAATGTTCAGTTAGCTAAGGAAAAATATCTGCTTCTAGTTTTCTGAAAGAAAATAAGATATGCTGTATAACCTCAGTACCTTTCCCATGCACTCCTCTAGAACACTAGTAGTGTTGCTTCAGTGGGGAAACTGACTTGCCTTTATCAGCTTAAAAGACAGGTTACAATCTGGTCTTAGCCAAATGTTGTTTGCTGTAGGTTTTAAAAGGTTTCAGATTTACTGCTATCACATGGTAAACATTGATGAACTATACACCAGGTGTCTTAGCTAATGGCCATAGTAAATTGAAATGGAAAATTATGCCAGATTTTATGGATATGAAATATACATGGGCTTATAGTGAAACAAATGGCTTTTCATGGCCTGGCCTTTCTTGAGATTGTGGGAGCATATTAATTTTACTTGTCATCTCAACCTGCAATCAGTCTTTGAATCAATATTCACAAATCATGTATTCATCCTTTGAAGTCCCTCTATTTTATCAGCTTCTTCCTCAGACCAGACAGGGTGATTGCCTTACAGTATCAGGGTCGCTTACCAGCCTGGTGTCAAGGAGCAAGTAACCAGGAACGGGAATTGAGTTCAAATCACTAAAAGTTTATTTCATGCTAGCTATACACAAGAATCTGCCCTACTAACAGTCAAGCCAAATTGGCGCTAGATACGGGTCAACAGAATCCACAGAGGGCTGGACTTGGGTCTCTTGTGGCTGCACAGCAATTCCAAACTTTAAACCTGCCTTCGAGCTCAGCCTGCTCATCTCTTACGCCTAGCTTGGGATCTTGTCAGTTAACCTACAGTTAGCCTATATTAAGGTAGCTGGGTTTTAGAGTATCCCGTACAGTATTGCCAGAATGAGATTGCAGTTATTATAGCCATAGTTCCTGGTAGTCAGCC